ATGATTTTACTTATTTTGAAGAAGTAGTACTAAATTAGCATTTTCTGTTTTACACTGAAGAATTGTCCAAAGTTCTCATGTAGACCTAATGATATTTGAACCAAGGGATTACCTGTTTTACATGGAGAATGAGAGAAGGGTTATACAAATAAAATGCATAATTTTGTTTGCCATCCATACTCCCTTTCCCCCCAAGCTGCTACCCCTGCAAGCTATTTTCATAAATGCAATATAATTATGTATGAATTCCTCTTTTTAAAAAAAAATATAGCATAGCTTGCTTAGGATAATACTTGTTGGGGGAAGGATGCAATTGGCACTAAACAAACTATACATTATTTGCAAAAAACTATGGAAGTAGTTTTTTACTTAGACTTTATGTCTATTAATTTAGAAGATAATTTAATCCTGGATTTATACCAAGCTTCTGAAGAAAAAAAAAAACACCAACAACAAATTAGATGTGTTGTTCCACATATTTTTTTAAACCTGCAATAGTAACTTAGTTTGAAAATATTATTCACACCTTAAGAAAAGAGCAAATGTGTCAGTGCATTAATTAACTCTAAAATAATGACTTAACACACTGAGGGAAGTCAAAAAATAGAATAAAGGCAATATTGTATTCTTTATAAGATTCTTACATAGTCATCAATCAATGTGGTTTTCTATAATATGATTTGGAATTTCATAAAATGATAGGCATTTAACTGTAGAATGGATTTATCAAGATCTACTAATTCTTGATAATTTATAAATTATTATTATTTTGTCATGCCTTACACACTGTCCGACGTCTCCCCTTTTTTTTTTTTTTTTTGGGCTTACTTTACCAAGCATGATGTCCTTTGCCAGGGGCTGGATATTAACTAGAATATTAACTACTGACGGAATAAAAGTTCTTATAACATGTGTTCATGGCGGGGGGTCGGGGGGATATGAGGAACTGATACCAAGGGCTCAAGTAGAAAGAAAATGTTTTGAGAATGATGATGGCAACAAATGTACAAATGTGCTTGACACAATGGATGGATGTAGGGATTGTGGTAAGAGTTGTACGAGCCCCTAATAAAATGATTTTTTAAATAATAATAAAAAATAATTTTTTAAAAAGATCTAACTTTCTTAATTTTCAGTAAACATGCAAAGTTCAGGGTAGAACTTGGACTTGGATATGAAATTCTGGCTGGCAAGTTGGGGTTGTCTGATTCCAAACAAACGGCTCTTAGGCTGATAGAACAGACTGCTTGGAAAAGAAATCATCAGAAATCACCACAACACCATGAAGTCTCATGGCAACAGTCATTCCTCTCTACAGTCCTCTCAGCAAGCTCCTCCTGACATACTTTGAAGACAGCTTTGGTGCCTGCTGAAATCTCTTCCTGTGTCTCAGCTCTCCTCCATCTCAACCCCTGTCTGTGCAATCTACAGGCATCGCTTCCTCAGAGCACCCTGGCCCCAACGCTCGCCATGCCTTCCAAATAACGAGCCATGTTCCTGTCATGGGATCACATACACGCGCATCCCTTCTTTGAATACAGGCACTGCTGCTGCTCTGAATTTCCGATGTTTCTTCTCCTTAGGCTCAAGGCTACTCTCTGAAGGCAGAGTCCCCCACCCTGCCTCTGTCCAGCGCCATCTCCCAATATCTAGCACTGGCCCATAGGCACCCTCAAGAAATTCCCACTGATAGATTAGAAATGCGAAACCTCTGTTTCACCATGTGGGCAGCAACCTGCTGAGGGGCCCTGGGAAGATGGTCCATGGGGAACAGAGGCTGACCTGGCTAGCTCTGTATGTACATTTTAAAGGAATTAAGCATATGGACACGCTTGGTAAGATTGCTCACACTTATCAGTTGAAGTTTTTGCTTAATTTAGAACAGTATCCTCAACCTTTAAAAAGAAAAACATCCTCTCTCTAACTTCTAAGAAACATAAAACAAGTGTAGACAACTACTCCTGATAGGACCACTGAATTCAAAGAGACAGGAAGTGCAGTGAGAGTCCGGTAACCTGATGGCTTTGAATTTCCAGAGGTGTGCCTTGATAATCCCCAGGGCAGGTGGCCCCAAAGGTTAGTTAAGACTTCATTAGGAAAGAGATTTCCTAAGGTTACTTTACATTTGAATATTAACTACTGAAGGGAAAAAAGTAGAGTGGAGCAGGGCTGCGGCCAGCATAGGTTTGATACCTACAGAGGGTCGCTGATGGCGGTGAGATGGCATAGCTCGGTGCTTTCCTTTAGAGTGCTCATGTCAACTGTGCATTCCTTTACGTTTTTTTGTTTTTTATTTGGGTGATGGCATGCTGGTATTGGGCAGCTAACCACAAGCTAACCACCAGCCACTCTGTAGGAGAAAGATGAGGTTCTCTAGTCCCATGAAGAGTTGTAGTTTCATAACCCCACAGAAGCAGTGTTCACCTACGCTACAGTCTTGTGGGGTCAGAATGAACTCGAGGGAGGGCAGTAGGTTGGGTTGGGTTTTGGTACACTTACATCCCTCCCTCCATAAACCCTCCGACCATAAGCACCGGCGGCCTGGGTAAGCACATCTAGGGTTGGCATTGGCATTCTTTTTAAAAGAATTCTAAAACACCCCTTTTAGGATTACCTTTCAATCTAATCTGATGATGCTGTTGGATAGATATTGAACTGCTAACTGCAGGGTCAGTGGTTCAAATCCAGCAGCAACTTCTTGGATAACGATGAGGCTAACTGCTCCGATAAAGATTTACAAAGCCTTACAAACCCTATGAGTACTAATAAAACTGATAGCAGTGGGTTTGGGGGATTTGTTTGTCTTATAAGAATATTGGAGTCATTGATTCCTGCAAATAGTTCACACACTGGGCTACTAACCAAAAGGTTGTCAGTTTAAGTCCACAGAGAGCGTCCACAGAGGGAGATCTTGGTGGGCTTCTGAAAATTGAGCGCTGAAAACCCTGTGGAGTACAGTTCTACCCTGACACAGCGGGGTCTCCATGAATCAGAACTGAATTGACAGCTACTGATTAACTTTTCCCTCGCAAACGGTGAATCATCAGACAACCTGAACTCTCTGATTGCAAACCTACATCCCAAACCAAACCCAGGCCGGCAGGTGTCTGTGTACTCGCCGAGTAGCTGAAATTTACAGGTGGCATTGAATGATGTTCTGCAGCCCTTTGGTCTACAGTACATCCCTCCTCACAAGCAAACCCCCAAATTCCTGGGTTCCGGCATCTCCAAATCATCTCCTCTGCTGGGATTTGAATCCAGGTCCCTACAACCTGAAACCTTCATCCCCTTTCTCAATGCACCATGCTGTTTATAGTCTAAACCGAGAGGGAAAGTGGCATTCAGTGGCCTGATGAAAGGGGAAGCAGGAAGGAACAAGCACCCGGGGGGACCTCCCCCTCCTGGTCTCAGTGGAAAGTTCTCTCTGAGTGGCGTGGGCAGTTTTGACTTAGAGACCGCAGAAACACGGCAGCTGGCAGCCATGCAAGGTGTGAGAGAAATTCAGTAGTCGGTCGCCTGCAATGCTTTCAGTTGTCTCATCCCGAGGCAGCGGCTCTTCTCCACATCTGCCCAGTAATTGGGAACCTTCCAACAAAAGACAGAAGGAAACGAGAGGACAGAGGTTATTGTTTTAAAAAAAAGCATTCACTGCATTCGGATACACTGCCTTGTGCATTTGTGCATCTGCACACAGGCCTCCCTCCGTGCTCTGTGCTTTCCCTTTGAGTGCTCGTGTCAACTGTGGTTCCTTTAAGTTTTTTGTTCTTTGCTTCTTTGATGACTGCCAGTCTCTGAGGGAGTTTCTCTTGGGCACTCTGGGTTTTGTGAAGTGTTCGTCCTGTCTGGGAACCACTATGGTGGGTTGGGGACAATTGCGCTGTCATTTTGCTATTAGTGTGTCTGACTCCAGAGGTGTCTATGGGCCTTGTCGTGTGGACATCCAGTTACTTTTTGGGAGGAATGATTTTAAAACGAAGTACACTAAACCTATACCTAAGCACAGCTTTTGTTGCCTGGACTAAACCTATGCTTACACATAAGATACGTCGATCTTTGGGTGTCTCAAAGTCTACGTTTCATTCTTCTAGTTCAAAGAACTCCAGTGTAGAGTTGGCCTGAAGCCTTTTTGTCCTTCAAATTCCAGCACGGGAAAGCAGTTTTAGTGAATTTAGAGAACCCAGAAGCTTAATAAAATAATTTTTTAAAAGAATAACCTCATAGTAAATCTTCATTTTAGTGTTACAAGTTAATTAATTAATTAATAGTAATAGTCAAAGGAACTGGGCCTTTGCTAATTCGTTAAAATTCTATGCATTCCCTTGCTTCTGTTTCCATAAATCAAATCACTATTATGACAGGAACCTTAAATACCCAACCAAGAATACTAATTTTTTTATTGTTTTCATTTTACTTGAAAGCTGTCTTCCAAGATCATCTCCTTTTTCAGAATGTCTCACCTATAAAAATTAAAGGAAAGTGATATGTTAAGTGAGGAATGTTGCCATTTATATTTCAGTCCAAATTTTCAAATATATTCAATATCCATCCAAAGTTTCCAAACCATTCTTATTTACTTAGATGACTGTGTCCATTTTTAAACAGATTAATTGTTCTTTTCTGTTTCTTTCTCTCTTTTTTAGCATTCATTTTAAAATTTCAATTAAACCATGAGTCAGGGCAAAGAAAATCATCTCATTCACAATATCATCAGGTTGAAATTTGTAATATTTGTCCATAGAATTATATTGGATAAAAATGAAAGAGGCTTCTGAATAAAGCATTACTTTCCAAAAAGGGGAGGACTTTACTCTCCATCACAGGGATCTAATCTGGCTCATTAAAATTAAAAAGGTTTCCAAAGGGAAGTTTTTTGTTGCCTGAGTGAGGAGCCTTCCTTGATTCAGAATGCCTCCAGTCCTAAATGTCGGATGAACTAGAGAAACTGGTGCTGCATTTATCAGGTGATTTGAACTGACCTCTCTGTGCCATGTTTTATTAAGTGAGCCTGACCCTGGGGCCCAGTAGCAACTGCGCGGTGGACGGCATTCCGCTGGCCCTCTCGGAGACCGACGAGACTGTGTCGGTGGGCAGCTGCTTTGCATCAGAGGACCCAACCGAAGACTCTGGAGTTATGAGCTCCCCGTCCGACATCGTCTCCCTGGATTCCCAGCACGACAGTGTGAAATCCAAAGACAAGTGGGCCACCGATCAGGAAGACTCTAGTGACCAAGATCTAAGTGGAGCTCCAGAAGTGGGTCCCCAAAAGAGCCCTTCCTGGGAAAGGACTGGCTCTGGACAGTCGCATCAAAGGTGAGTCATGTGAAAGCTGAAAAGTGTAGCCACTGTCGCATCTGACTTCAAAAAGGCTTCATAAAGGTAAGTCTTCTCTCATTCTATTCAGGCTGTTTTGTCTCCCACTGCAATCTAATGAATCGTCCTAAGAGTCTACTGTGTGCCAGATAAAAGTCACCACCACCGTCCTGAACTGGGAGTTCATTATCCAAGTGCAGGTTACCATGCTGCTTTTAGGTAGGCTAATCTGTATGACTAACACATTACAGTGTTCGGTTTGATTTTTTTACTTCTTATACATAGGAGCTCTGGTGACACTATGATTGCTAACTAACTAGAAGGTCAGCAGTTCAAACCCATCAGATTCTCCTCAGGAGGAAGATCAGGCTTTCTACTCCTATAAAGATTTTCAGCCTCACAAATACTATATAGGGTCATTGTGAGTCAAAATTGACTCAGTAGCAGTAGGTTTGGGCTTTGTACGCAGAGGGTGAAAATCTCAATATGTTGTTTGATTGTGCTTTTCATATGTACTCATGATAACACACATATTATTCATCCACTCATTTTCCGATTAATGGAGGCCCTATTAGCACAAAGTGTTAATCATGGAACTTCTAATAGAAAGGTTGAAATTCCAGTCTCCCCAAGGCATCTCAGAAGAGAGCCCTGGCACTCTATCTCTGAAAATTCACAGCCATTGAAAACTCTCCTGAACCCACTTCTACTCTGACACACCTGAAGCCCCCAGGGGGTGAAATCGACTCAGCAGTAACTGGTAGGAGTTTTTCACCTTGGAGACAAAGAGCAGGTTGAACATATCGCTCAGGTTTCATACAGGGTTTTTAGACAAGGGATTACTAGGCTATTAGATGAGTTCATCTTCAATGATATATATAGTTATATATAATATCGACAAATTGCTTGACAATTGCAAAACGGCTGACCACATTAGAGGCGTCTAGCAGCCTTTGGAAGCACTCACTCACCTGTGCCAGGAAATTTGGAAGTCAGCTACTTAGCCAACTGACTGGAAGAGATCCATGTGGGTGCCCATTCTAAAGAAAGGTGACCCAACACAATGCTCAAACTATAGAACAATATCATTGATCTCACTTATAAGTAATATGTGTGGGAAGATCATCCAACAATAGTTGCAGCGGTTCAATGGCAGGGAGCTACAAGAGGTTCAGGCTGGATTCAGAAGAGGATGTGGAACAAGGGATATCATTGCTGATGTCAAATGGATCTTGGCTCAAAACAGAGAATACCAGAAAGATGTTTGCTTGTGTTTCACTGACTATGCAAAAGTGTTCGACTGTGTGGATCATAGTTAACTATGGATGGACTTCAAAGAATGGGAATCCCAGCGCACTTCATTGTGCTCATGCAGAACCTATACATGGATCAAGAGGCAGTTGTCGGAACAGAAGGGAATGCTGTTTGTTTTAAAATCAGGAAAGGTGTGTGTCTGGGTTGTAGCCTTTCACCATTCTTGTTCAGTCTGCATGCTGAGCACCTCATAGGAGAGGCTGGCTCATATGAAGGAGAACGTGGCACCAAGCCTGGAGGAAGGCGGATTAACAACCTTTGATATGCAGATAACACAGCCTTGCTTGCTGAAAGGGAAAAGGGTTTGAAGCACTTGCTGGTGAAGATCAAAGGCTGATTGCAGCCTCAGTGTATGGATTATGACTCAATGTAAAAAGACCACATTCCTCACAATGGGAACAATAGGTAACATTATGATCAACGGAGAAAAAGTTGAAGTTGACAAAGATTTGGGCTTACTTGAATCCACAATCAAGATTCATGGGAGCAGCAATCAAGAGATCAAAAGAGGAGCTACATTAGGTAAATCTGCTACACAACACCTCGTGAGAGTAGTGAAAAGCAGTGATACTACTTTGAGGACTATGGTGCGTCTGGCTCAAGCCATGATATTTTCAATTGCCTATATGCATATGAAATTGAATATGGATACTGAATAAGGACGCCTGAAGAAGAATCAATGCGTTTGAATTGTGGTGCTGGAGAAGAACATTGAAAGTCCTAAAGACTGCTATAAGGACAAACTCTATCTTGGAAGAAATAAGGCCAGAGTGCTCCCTGGAGACAAAGATGGCAAGACTTTGTCTTACATACTTTAGACATGTTGTCAGGAGAGACCAGTCTCTTGAAAAAGAGAGTCAGAGAAAACAAGGAAGAGCCTCAAGGAGACGGATGGACAGGACTGTGCAGTTTTTTCTGTCGTGCATAGGACAGGGTGGTGATGGTCAGAGCCAGCCTGAGGGCACCTAACAACGGAGCAGCCTTTGATGACCTATCCGTCACATTTCAAACAGTATTTGATATCAATAAACATCTTAATTCTTGCCAGTCATAGATGGGTCAAAGGCATATTTTTCTTGCTTTCATCAACAATTCTTTGATCAGCATGGTCCAGTGTCTTGGCCATGATTATTAGTTACCTGGTTTATGCCCATTTTCTTTTAAAGTGGATGTTTGGTTTATTCAGTGCAGCGTATTCTTTAATATGGTCCTTGTAACTACAGCCTTTGAAACTCCCACCAAACAACTTTTCCTTGATCGGGTTTGGTAAGAAAAGGTAGGGGGAGGAGACTGATAAGATCCTTAGGTGTGATAACCCCTTTTGGAGGAAGATCCCAAGGCCACCAGCTTCTCTAAGGGAGCAGTGGTATGAGGACAATGCAGAGACCAAACAAGCAGGTGGGAGGAGGCAGCACAGCAGGTTTATTGAGAGTAAAGTCAGGTTACACTGAGGGCTGACCCCCAACAGGTCTATACTCCCCAAAGGGTAGATGTAGTGAACGCTGCTGGAGCTGGCAAGACTTGCTTCTCCAAGGGGTACCCAGAAAAACTGGATTTTTTTCAAAGCTATGCTTTTAAATTGTTTCTAAAAACCACCCTTATCACCTTCGAAGTAAGCTCCATTAAACTTAATGCATTTGTCAAATCTGTGATTCCAATCTTGGAAACATTTTTAAAACTCATCTGTTTGGATGGCTGACAGCACCTCCCTTGTTTTCTTCTTCACCTCTTCTACATAATCAAATCGCTGTCCTTTCATAGCTCCCTTCATTCATGGAAACAAAAAGAAGTCACACAGAGAGCGGTCAGGTGAGTAAGGTGCATGAGGCAAGAGAGGCATGCTGTCTTTCACCAAAAATTGGTGCACTGAGATGGCTGCATGAGCAGGTGCATTGTCATGGTGGGAAAAGCAGTCCCCTGTCACAAATTAGGCCTTTTTTGTCACACACTGTTATGCCATCTTTTCAGGACATCTAAATAGAAAGCCTGATTAACAATCTGATCTGGTGGAATGAACTCCAAATGTACTACCAAACATACTATGAATTGACATTTTTGTCTGTTCAGGAAGTTGATGGATGTCCAGAAAGAGGTTTGTCATCAATCAGCATTTCACCTTTATTGAAACAAAAAAAACACACATACACTTGAGTTTTTTCCAATCATGTTGGAAAACGTCACAAGAGTGATATACAACATCACAAGAGTGTTCAACATCACAAGAGTGCAACGTTTTACCCGAACAGGAAAGGAAATTTCACAGCTGCACGCTGTTCTCTTAAATCTCTTAAACTGAGCAAAACTCCTTTTATAAAAAAATTCAGTGTGATCAGAGACACCCTTCCCAGGTGACACCACCGGGTGCAGTAACTCAGAGCGAGTTGCTTGATGCTCATCCAGCAGGAAAACTGTGTACTACTAAAGCTACACTCCATCTAGCATGCAATTTCAGGGGTTTTTTGGGTAACCCCTCATATGTTTGTCAGGGGCCATTGAGATCAAAGTTGGAGTTTTTTCAAAAAAGACAGTTGTCCCTGGTTGGCTGGGACCCAACTATGTCCTTATTTGGCAGGGTCCTTGGTGGCCAGGCTCTCAGCTTCCTTGTTTCTAGTATGTGGTGACTCATCTGTTAAACCCTGTCACTATCAGGATTATGTGATTCAGTTGTCCATGATTCTTAATAGAGTTCATGGTGATTGTTAAAAACTTTGAAAGCTAAGGAAAGAATTACTCACTTTTTTCCATCTAGCTGACTTTAAATGAGCGATCTTAGAAGGAGGAAGTGGGGAACTCTCACCACCATCAAGAGAGGAGTCAGGAGTGAAGTGAGACCTTTGGACCCTGAGATCCCTGTGCACTTTACCTCCTTGATCCAGGAGACAGCTGTGACAGGGGGCAATAGGAGAGCCGCAGAGGGAGAGTCAAGGGTCAGAGCATAAGACTGAGTGCTAGACTTCCCAGCCCACCAAGCAAGGAAAGTTGAAGGCCTCTAGGCAGGAAACTGGCTTGTAGAGTGAAGAGGGAGGTTTGCCGACCTACAGCGCTTGAGCCAAGTGCCTTTAGGCTGAGTTATTGCTTTGGGTATTTATTGTCGGCCCTAAAAAAGCTTTGTAACATTATCCAAGCAGGACGAAGGTCAAGAAGCTGAAGGCCAGAGAGAAGCCTTTTTGTGAGCGTAGTAAAGAGGACGCTGGCCTGACTGAACCAATGTAGCCTGAGCATTTCTCACCAAAATTGTACACTCTTAATTTCCGTAAGGAATCCCATAATCATGAGTATCGGCTGTGAGTTCCTTGTGATCACTGCAATGAATTATCCATCTGAGATGAGAAGTAGAAATTCGGTCGGGGAGGAGAGGAGATTGATGGTTGGGGTCAGAATTGGTCAGAAGGTTGGAGGGGAGGGCCATGTTTGCCCCCACCTCATAGAAAGCTGCCTTGGTCTGCAGGTGCTCCGGGATTCTCCTTCCTCTCTGCTCCTTGTGGAAGCAGAAGATATCAAATGCCACCCCGCCCTTTATTTTCATCTATTCTCAATTGCTGATCACCCTTTATCAGTTATTGGCATTCAAAGAATACCTCAAGCTGTGGCTTGGTTTTTTGGCTCTGTTTTCTTTTGTACAAAAAAAATATGATCTTTGCGTATTTAAGAAACCTTTCTATATAAACTAAAGTACTAAATGAGGT